GGAAAGGAACTCACTCTCAACAATGTGTTGCATGTACCGGACATTCGCAAGAATTTAGTTTCCGGATCTTTGTTGAGTAAGAATGGGTTTAGGCTAGTATTTGAGAGTGATAAATTTGTACTTACTAAGAATGAGATGTATGTAGGAAAAGGTTACATGTCTGATGGCCTTTTCAAGTTAAATGTAATGACCATTGTACTCTCAGTTATTAATAATACTACATCTTCTTCTTACTTGCTTGAGTCTTCATTTAGTCGTGTAAAATAAGGTTTTGGGTGACTATTTTTATTTTGGTCGCTAAATCTAAAATCTTTACCCACTATAATTCAGTAGCCAAATGTGGCAAAAAATTCAGGAGGGAATATTAAAAACATTAGCGACCAAATTTGAATTTTGGTCAGGAATAAATTGGCAAAAAGTTTTATTTTTATTACAATAGAAGTCCATTTCCCTCCCTCTCTCACTCCCGCCTCTGTCACTACTCTGTCTCCATCGCCATCACTGCAAGGATTGCTGGATCATCACTTTGTCTCCCTCCTAGGTATGTCCACTATTCCGCATGTGTCTCTCCCTCTCTCTGTATCTCCCTCTCGATTTATCTATCTCCTTCTCACTGTTGCCCTCTCTCTTTCTCTGTCCCTGTTTACACATACTCACACACATACATACATATATATATATATATACACAAAAATCATATAGGAAATGCTGAAAACTAGGGCATTGTTAATGAAATTTAAAATTAGGGCAATTCTTGGGCTGAGATGTTATTAAATTTAGAACTGAGATGTTTAATGATGTATAATGGATTTTTATTGTAGGACTTGCCATATCTATTTGAGTGTTAATCCTTACAATTTGAGGCTGCTAACAACTATAATGCTCTGCCATTTAAAGCCTCAAGTTTCATAATTTGTTAAATTCATTGAATTTTTCTACTTTTATTATGCATGCATACATAATGTCAGTTTCAATTTTTCATTTATTGAAATCCCATTTTATAACACATTACCAATGTTAGCTAATAGTTCACCGACATATAATTCCTCTCTCTCAGCAAACATGTATATGGATATACCAAGTTTTCGATCTATTATCTAAACCTTTTCTTATAGAAATGTAAAACATTAAAAAATTCAGGGAGATTGGAGTGCTATATGACTTATATTACAGAAGCATGATGGCCATGGCAGTTGACCCATGTGATGGGCTTGGTTGGAAGTAAGGTCCAACGAAAAAGTTTAAGGTTATTGCGGGCTAATAATGATATTTGACACTGGTTCAAGTTGCTCTTTTTCTTTCTCTCTCCTTCTCCGAGCTGCTAGTTGTGAGACCATGAAATATCCTCTCACATGGATTGTAGAGATCCAACGAAGAAATGAACTTTATCCTGGTAGATCTCCAAAGATGAGTGTGATCGGCGCCACCCAACCGGGGCTGCCGGCCGGAGGCACTCCAATGGTGAAATCAGTCACTTGATAAACAGAATGAAAGTCTAGAAAGTGTAGAGTGTTTGGTGTGTGGTGTAGAAAGAGATGACATACATCCTCTTTTGGGATGCCCCCTCTTTATATAGATGGGGGTGTGATATTAGTTTGGGCTGGACCCATTGTAGGCCTTGTTTGGATTAACCCCAATAAGTTGATATATATTTTTTTTCTGGCTTTGTCACAATCTCATTACATTGAGAAAATACTTGACAAATTTAGCAAAGATGATAATCATCTTGCTAGAACACCTGCGGATGTTAATTTGTTTCTTTCTAAGAATGTACATGAAAGTATTTCTCAATTAGAGTATGCCCAAATTATTGGAAGCTTAATGTACTTGATGAACTGCACTCGCCCAGATATAGCTTATGCAGTAAGTAAATTAAGTAGATATACGAGTAACCTGGGAGTAGAACACTGGAAAGCGATTATAAGGGTTCTAAGATACCTCAGGTTTACTCGTAACACTGGGTTAAATTATACTAGATATCCAGCAATACTTGAAGGATACTATGATGCTAACTGGATATCAGATACTAGAGACTCGAAATCCACTAGTGGATATGTTTTTACACTTGGTGGGGCGGCTGTATCTTGGAAATCTTCCAAACAGACTTGTATTGCTAGGTCTACTATGGAATCTGAATTCATAACTTTAGACAAAGCTGGGGAAGAGGTAGAATGGCTTCGCCACTTCCTTGAAGATATTCTAATTTGGCCAAAATCGGTGCCTGCTATATGTATACATTGCGATAGTCAATCAGCAATAGGTAGAGCACAGAGTCATATGTATAACGGTAAGTCTCGACACATTCGTCGTCGACATAATACCGTCAGACAACTACTCTCTAATGGAATTATTTCCATAGAATATGTTAAGTCTAAAGACAACATAGCGAATCCACTAACCAAAGGGTTAGCAAGAGAGTTAGTTGAAAATTCATCGAGGGGAATGGGACTTAAGCCTATGAAATAAGAGTTACCACAACGGCTACCCAACCTAGTTGACTGGAGATCCCAAGATCTAGGTTCTAAGGGACAACCGAGTTGTGATTGACTCAGAAGGATCACTGTGGAGTCCAACTCCTACCCATTTCTATAATGAAATAAGTAATGTCTGCAGCGATTTAGGTTAAGTAATACTTTTAATGATTCTTATATCTAGGTAAACCTAGTGGAGCATGGCAGGATACTTTTCATAAGAATCACCTTTGTGAGTGTGAACTGGGCCGATTCTATAAGATTTGTGAAGGGCTACAAGTCTTTAGAGCACTCATGACAGACCAGGTTGTTCAGGGCCAAAATGAACACAATAGTGAGAACTAAACTGTGTCTAGGAATATACTGTGTGAGTTCTATTGTCTTGGTTTACACAAACGGCTGAACAGTTCAAGACATCATATTCACTGGTTAGTTAGTAAATCCGATAGTATCTCACAAGGGAAGGTTCAAAGCCAAAAGCTACCTATCCTTTGCAGAATATTTTCAATTTCTGTACTCTCTGTAATTAGATCATGTTGTTGCATTTTCTCTCCGTCTAATTCCATTCATGTGGGGATTGTTGGAAAATGGTTTTATATAGGCATAGTTTTTAGCTCAATTTTGAATGGGCCTCAAACGTCTTTTGGGGTGGGTCCGAAGAGGTGATGTGTTCCTTGCCGCGTGGCAAGTCACACAGTGAAGACGGAACATCAAAACCATTTATGAGTGAATGGGAAGTTGACGTCGTTTTCGGATTTAACTTTAATGTTTTAGATTAAATTCATTTGAATTTTTTCAATAAAAAATTATGGTGGGAATTCAATTTAATTCTAAATTCAAATTTTGAGTTCCTAAGTGGTTTCTTAAAATTTGTAATTGTGAGAATTTAATTTAATTCTAAATTCAAATTTTAGGTTCCTAAGTGGTTTCCTAAAATTTGTACCTCTTTTTATTTATTTATTAAACTATTTAATTTGATTTATATAATTTTATATATATTTCAAATAGTTTACATAATAAGTACCTTTTGTTTCTTTGTTTTGGTTAAGTTTATTTGACTTGGTCAAACCAATGGTTGTTTTTCCAAATTCGTGTGGTAAAGCTGATTCCAAAAGTTGCTAACGGTCAGATTCGGTTTTCTTAAACTACTATGAATCTGTTTGAAATTTTCAAAATAGTATCCGTTACACTTATTGCACCTGTTCAGCCTTATAGCGCCTATTTGGGATGTGTAATTTTGCCTGTATATACTGCCATGTTTTCTGCAGTCTTAATCCCCGAAAATTCAGTCTGAAACTGTCTTATTGTTGTCCAGATTTTATTGTGTGTATTTTTTCTTCATTTTAGTTTTCGAATAAAATTCAGAGAGTAAGAACACAAGGTTCTAGTTCGCCGAACAAATTGTTTGGAGTACTACTACAATTTGTGAAGATCATTGTATCCTGGGAGATAGACGCCACTCAACCGTAAGTACCGTAGCGGGGCGAATCTGTCTTAAGGACAGAGTGTCACACACTCGACTTGGTCTTGTAATTTTTATTTGGTTCGACAAAATAAATCTGGTATGTTATTTATTTATTTTGTTTGAATTTATTTCAAGTTATTTTATTTAAACAGAAGATTGTTCCAACAGTATTTTTTAGCTCAATTTGAGTGGGCCCCAAACGTCTTTTGGGGTGGGTCCGAAGAGGTGACGTGTTCCTTGCTGCGTGGCAAGTCACACGGTGAAGAAGGAACGTCAAAACCATTTATGAGTGAATGGAAAGTTGACGTCGTTTTCGGGTCTAACATTAACTTTTTTTTAGATAAAATTCATTTGAATTTTTTCAATAAAAAATTATTGTGGAAATTTAATTTAATTCTAAAATTCAAATTTTTGATTCCTAAGTGGTTTCCTAAAGTTTGTAATTTTGAGAATTTAATTTAATTCTAAATTCAAAAAAGTGGTTTCCTAAAGTTTGTCAAATAGATTTATATTTATATCCTATTCAAAGTTTTAATAAATCTATTCAATTTTTGACTTTATTTAATTGAACTATTCTAAATAGTTATTAAATAAAGTTGCAAGCAGTTGCTTTGTTTGACTTACGAATCACTTTTGACATGTTTGAATATTTGTTCCAAGTGTAACGCTCAGCAAACAGTTTGAATTCAATTTCTGAAAATGTTTGGTACCTGTTCACTATTGGAAATACGCCTGTTCGGGTCAGATTTATCTTGCCTATATATGTCCATCATTTCGGCAGTCTTTGGGGGAGTTTTTTCTTGATCCGGGAAATTGAGTCTTTATAATCCAATTCCTATTCGGAAAATTCAATTTGAAATTTGGTCTCTTTGCTGTCCATTTCTTTTAGTGCATTATTCCTCATATTTAGTTTTAAGAATAAATATTTCAGAGAGTTAGAATATATGTCACACCCAGAACTCGCCCCTAAAAGTTTGGGCATGACCACCTCAGAAAAACGGACATAAAACCTGATGAATATAATCTACGGGGCCTAAACGGAAGCATTTAATAGTATATAATAGCAAACAAAAATAATAATAATTATAACAATATATCCATTGAGCTACCACTACCATGCCAGGATCACAAACAGAACATAATGCAGTTAAATATATAGTGACGTGCACCTGAAGATAGCTATGTACATATACATATACGCCGACCTTAACAGACATTTAGGGTACAAATTAAAACTAGCAAAACTCCATAACTTGAACAATCAACATCTAAGGGCTTAGATACTCAGGATTTGACAACTGGGTAACAAAAGCCACAAGTGAAGGTTGATCTCCAGGTTGAGTGCCTACAGAAACAAACATAAAATAGAGTGAGTCAAGCTCAGTGAATAATAATACATAACAATTCAATGCTCAACGTGAATTATAATCCATATCCGTGTGTTTATCAATAAAGAGAACATATGGTTTATTTGTTTCTGTATGCATAGCTAAGTATCTTTTTCAGAAAATTTGTCATATCTTGAACATTCGGGGTTCCATAGTGCATCTAGGCATTTTGGGGAAAATTATCCGGCAAGCATATCATATTATAAACATATCATAAGTTCATAACATTTTTCTCATTTCAGAAATTACTTATCATATGAAACATTTCGTAACTCCAAATACGGATTTCATCAAAGTCATTTATATTTTAAGTATCATTTACGGAATGGCCTTGAGCCTAATCTTGAACACAATGGCTTTAAGCCCTTAACAGAATGGCTTGAAATCCTTAACAAAATGGCATGAAGCTCTTATCAAAACAGCATAAAGCCCTTGAAACACATTGGCATTAAAGCCCTGAAACATATGGCATAAAAGCCCTTGGAACATGAAACATATGGCATAAAAAGCCCTTGAAAGATGGCATATAGCCCTTGAAAGATGGCATATAGCCCTTGAAAAGTTGGCATGAAGCCTTTGGAATGGCATAAAGCCCTTGTAACTTGTGATGGCATAAAGCCCTTGTAATGGCATAAAGCCCTTGTAACTTGTGATGGCATATAGCCCTTGTAATGGCATAAAGCCCTTGTAACTTGTAATGGCATAAGCCCATGTAACTTGTAATGGCATACAGCCCATGTAACTTGTAATGGCATAAAGCCCATGAAACTTGTAATGGCATACAGCCCATGTAACTTGTAATGGCATAAAGCCCATGTAACTTGTAATGGCATAAAGCCCATGTAACTTGTAATGAGGATGATTTCAGTCTTCTTAAAGTATCAGTATGCAATAATGCACATAAGTTTCCCATGGCCTGATTACAAATTAATACAGGTGTCTCGCGAACAACTGGATAATAATAATCATAACAATTATTAACTGAGGCCACATAATAATATTAAACATTGCATGCGTGTCATAGGTTCTTGATGACCTCGGGTCCATAAGTAACACAATAGAATAATCTCAGTTTCATACAGATACTTGGCTTAAAGATGAACATAATTCTATTTATTCATTAAGAAACGACGTAGTTTGCTTATAGATAATAGAGAATTATTATTCGCTATTGATAGAACGAAGTCATTCCAAAGTCATACCGATATATGCCAATCTTTCAACGTTCACATTGACTTTCACTCATCATAATTGTTCATGTAACATGTTCATGTAACACTTACAAGAAACAGAGCGTTAGTGATAATAATCATCAATAATAAATAAAATGTACATCTCCGTACTATTACTCACAGTGCATTGGTGGAGCATTTATTCCTCCCGAAGCGTGTCCTACACACATATGAAGTCACACATTAATTCTTTAAATCATTTCCCCTAATTTCCTTTCTCAATTTAACATGATTTATAATGCCCATAACAAGGTTCATTCGTAAATTTTTAACATTATTGCAAAACATCTCAGAAATCCAATTAAACTTGTACACGTATAACTCAACCCACCAATTCCATGATTCTATTTCCAATTTGAGCAAAATCATTCTTTATCATCACAAATTCATCTAGGGTTTCAAGAACATAAAGTTTTCCATAAAAAAAATCATACTTCTCATACCATGACCTTACATCCCAATTCCCTCCTTGATTATACATCTAGGGATCATACTCCATCACTTTAACCCATCAATTGAACCTTCAATGTTTCAAACTCAAAATTCCCAAAATCTCATAATTTCCTCTATATGCTCAAAATGAAAATTTATACATTTATACAATGAAAATACCTCAAATCTAACCATGGATGTAAGTATTGAAGAGAAATAGAACCCCTACCTCAATAATCAAGCAAAAGAGTGAGCTTGGAAAGAAGCCTTCGCAAATCCAAGTTCCAATCGGGTAAAAACATTAATCCTCCCTTGTTCTTCATCCTTGATGCCAAAAACCATGGTGGATCGTGATCAAAGTAAAGGAATTCAAGGGTTTGGGGGCTAGGGTTTCGGACATGGAAGAGAGGAAGGAAGAGGAAAGAAGAAAAACATCTAAAATGATCCAAAATCCCGTTTTTAAAGCTGCTGGTCCGAAAAACCCGCTCGAGCGCACATCTTCACGCTCGAGCGTACATGCATTCAGCACAGATGTCAAAACTTCAAATAGGCATAACTCTCCCATCCGGACTCCGTTTTAAGTCGTTCTTGTGCTCAAATTGAAGCCCCGAAAATAAGCTTTCCAATGGTTCCAACCTCACATCCAAATTCAAAGTGTGGAAAAAGAAAAGGGCAAAAGAGTGACGGCTGATCGTAGACAAAATATTCAAACTAAAGTTTTTGATCCAATCTTACTCTACCATCATATTACCACCACAATCAAGACCCCAAAATAAAATAACGAGGTTCCAAATACACCACTACAATGTCAAGGGAAATCTTACTTCTCACGCTCGAGCGTCGCTTCAACCGCTCGAGCGCGCACAGACCAATAAAGCAGTCTGCTCGAGCGTCAACTTCTCCGCTCGAGCGGAGATTCACAACTCCCAGAATCTCAGGCCGTCTGCAAAATTGCTGAGAACCCCAAAAGTCCGCTCGAGCGGAGGGAAAAATTCTGGGTCGTCACAATATAAGTTTGGTTCGCCGAACAAATTTATTTGAAGTGCTTCTATAAATTTGTGAAGATCATTGTATCCTGGGAGATAGACGTCACTCAACCGTAAGCACCATAGCGGGGCGAATCTGTCTTAAGGACAGCATGTCACACACTCGACTTGGTCTTAAATTATTTATTCGGTTCAACGAAATAAATTCGGTATGTTATTTATTTATTTTGTTTGAATTATTTCAAGTTATTTTATTTACACAGAAGATTGTTCCAACAATCTTAAGACAGAATCGAATTATTCTGTTTACATAATTTTTCGTTTGTTTCCTTTTCTAAGAAAATTATTTTCTGTGGATTTACAAAATAATATTCTGGTTGGAAAAACAAATAGTAATTACATGCTATTTGACAGATAGTAGTAATATACTGTCTCTTTTCTTTGACAACAACTAGTAGCACGATACTGGTGTCATTAACAATTCAGAATATATTTTTGTGGAATTTTTTCAGAAATTAATTTTGGGTTTTAGAATTATTTTCTGTGTTTTCATTAATTAAAATTCTGTTTTCAGTATTTTAATTATTGGAGTGTAACAAGAGATTTAAATTTCTGTGTGAAATTAATTTGGTTACATAAAATTTTATTTTTCCAAATTAATTGAAAAAATAAAAGTTATATTTTTTATTTCTTTTATTTTACAGAATTTAATTTCTTGTGTGGAATTAATTTGGTTAAATAAAATTTTATTTTATTTCCAAATTAATTGAAAAATAAAAGTTATATTCTTATTTCTTTTATTTTACATAATTTTATTTTCTGTGTGGAATTATTTTGGTTAAATAAAATTTTATTTTATTTCCAAATTAATTGAAAAATAAAAGTTATAGTTTTTATTTCTTTTATTTTCTGTGTGGAATTAATTTGTTTAAATAAAATTTTATTTTATTTTCAAATTAATTAAAAAATTAAAGTTACATTCTTGTTTCTTTTATTTTTACAGAATTTAATTCTGTGCATTTGGTTTAATTTTTTGTGTAGTGTAAATTGTAATTATAATTTTGTTTTATAAATTAGAATTGATGGCTACTAAAACTGGTCAATCTAATGTTCAAACCAGTACTGGTATGGTGTTTGCCATTACGCCAACATTTCCTTATGTTGTGACTGTGCCAGTGAATCATGGTGGAAAACCAGAGAAGTTCTCAAGAACTAAATTTTGTAAAGGCAAAGGAAGAACAAGTAAGAAAGTTACTAAAGCCGATATAACCGAAATGGATATAATTTCCAATGGTGTAGATGTCATAAATCTTTTTGTAGTTGTTTCCGAGGCAAATCTTGTTGGAAATCCTAAAGAATGGTGGGTGGACACTGGTGCTACTCGCCATATTTGTGCCGACAAAAAGATGTTAACATCTTATTCTATAGTGGACAATGGTGAACAACTGTTTATGGGCAACTTCTCAACTTCCAAAGTTGAAGGACAAGGAAAGATTGTACTCAAGATGTCATCTGGAAAGGAACTCACTCTCAACAATGTACTGCATGTACCGGACATTCGCAAGAATTTTGTTTCCGGATCTTTGTTGAGTAAGAATGGGTTTAGGCTAGTTTTTGAAAGTGATAAATTTGTACTTACCAAAAACGGGATGTATGTAGGAAAATGTTACATGTCTGATGACCTTTTCAAGTTAAATTTAATGACCGTTGTACCCTCAGTTATTAATAATACTACATCTTCTTCTTACTTGCTTGAGTCTTCAAATTTATGGCATGGTAGACTAGGACATGTTAATTATGGATCTTTGCGTAGATTAATTAATATATAATGTTTACCTAAATTTGACATTGATTCAAATCATAAATGTGAAATTTGTATTGAGGCAAAATTATCTAAAACTCCTTTTCATTCAATTGAAAGAAGTACGGAACCACTTGAATTAATTCATAGTGACATTTGTGATTTTAAATCAATTCAAACTAGAGGTGGGAAAAAGTATTTTATCACTTTTATAGATGACTATACTAGATATAGTTATATTTATTTAATTCGAACCAAGGATGAAGCTTTGGAAACTTTCATTCAATATAAGAATGAAGTAGAAAATCAACTTGGTAAGAAAATCAAGAAACTTAGAAGTGATAGAGGTGGTGAATATGAATCACCTTTTGGTGAGTTTAGTAAAGAACATGGAATAATTCATCAAACCACAGCTCCTTACTCACCTCAGCAAAATGGAATTGCTGAAAGAAAAAATAGGACTTTAAAAGAAATGATGAATGCCATGTTAATAAGTTCTGGATTACCTCAGAACTTGTAGGGGGAAGCAATACTTTCTGCTAATTATATACTTAATAAAGTACCCCGAAAGAAAGTGAATCAAACACCTTACGAATTGTGGCATGGAAGAGTACCATCCTACAAATACTTAAAAGTGTGGGGGTGTTTGGCTAAAGTGGCTATTCCTAGTCCTAAAAAGACTAAGATAGGTCCTAAGACCATTGATTGAATTTTCATTGGTTATACCAAGAATAGTAGTGCATATCAGTTTTTGATTCATAAATCAAAACATACCGAAATGCATGTAAATACTACTATTGAATCTCGGAATGCATCCTTCTTTGAACATGTATTTCCAAAGAAGACTGGACAAGAGACTAGTAATAATAGAGATCTTTTGATGCTATTACTAGTAATGATCAAAGACATGATCAAGAGCAAGAGTTAGATCAAAGATGAGGAAGAGGAACCTAGGCGTAGTGAACGTGCTAGAATTTCAAAATCTATTGGTACAGATTTCCTAATATTTTTTGTTAGAAAATGAGCCTTTAACTTTTAAAAGAGTTATGTCCAGTCCTGAAGCTCTTATGGAAAGAAGCTGTCAACAGTGAAGTTGAATCCATCTTGCAAAATCACACTTGGGAATTAGTGGACTTACACACCAGGTTGTAAACCTCTTGATATAAGTGGATTTTCAAAAGGAAAAATGAAAGTGAATGGATCAATTAACAAATACAAGAAGACTTGTAGTCAAGGATTTAGACAAAAAGAAGGTCTTGATTACTTTGACACGTACTCACCGGTTAACTAGAATTAATATCCATTAGAATGCTAATTGCCATTGCATCTCTATTACAATCTAGAAATTCATCAAAATGGATGTTAAAACCGCTTTCTTAAATGGTGAGTTAAATGAAGGAATTTACATGGAACAACCAGAAGGGTTTCTGTTCTAGGGAAAGAAAAGAAAGTGTGTAATTTGGTTAAATCATTATATGGTTTAAAACAAGCGCCAAAGCAATGGCATGAGAAATTTGACAAGGCAATGATGTCAAATGGATTTAAAATTAATGAGTGTGACAATGTGTTTTGTATTAAAACACAGATAAGGGTTATGTCATTGTATGTCTTTATGTAGATGATATGCTCATCATTGGTAGTAATAATGACATGATTAAAACTACCAAGAAAATGTTGATAAACATATTTTGACATGAAGGACATGGGCATTGCTGATGTAATTCTTGGTATGAAAATTACCAAAACATCAGAAGGATAATGCTTTGTCACAATCTCATTACTTGAGAAAATACTTGACAAAATTCAGCAAAGATGATGATCATCTTGCTAGAACTCCTGTAGATGTTAATTTGGTATCTTTCTAAGAATGTACAGGAAAGTATTTCTCAATTAGAGTATGCCCAATTATTGGAAGCTTAATGTACTTAATGAACTGCACTCGCCCAGATATAGCTTATGCAGTAAGTAAATTAAGTAGATATACGAGTAACCCAGGAGTAGAACACTGGAAAGCAATTATCAGGGTTCTAAGATATCTTCGATTTACTCGTAACATTGGGCTGAATTATACTAGATATCCAGCAGTACTTGAAGGATACTGTGATGCAAATTGGATATCGGATACTAGAGACTCTAAGTCCACTAGTGGGTATGTCTTTACTCTTGGGGGGGCGGCTGTATCTTGGAAATCTTCCAAACAGACTTGTATTGCTAGGTCTACTATGGAATCTGAATTCATAACTTTAGACAAAGCTGGGGAAGAGGCAGAATGGTTTCGCCACTTTCTTGAAGATATTCCAATATGGCCAAAACCGGTGCCTGCTATCTGCATACATTGAGATAGTCAATCAGCTATAGGTAGAGCACAGAGTCATATGTATAACGGTAAGTCACGACACATTCGTCGTCGACATAACACCGTAAGACAACTACTCTCTAATGGAATTATTTCCATGGAATATGTTAAGTCTAAAGACAACATAGCGGATCCACTAACCAAAGGGTTAGCAAGAGAGTTAGTTGAGAATTCATCGAGGGGAATGGGACTTAAGCCTATTAAATAAGAGTTACCATAACGGCAACCCAACCTAGTTGACTGGAGATCCCAAGATCTAGGTTCAAAGGGACAACCGAGTTGTGAATGACTCTGAAGGATCACTGGGGAGTATA